TTATAAATCTAGGCATGGCAAAATAATAGCATTTTTATTAGAGAAATTTATCAGTTTTTAAATGTGTAATTGGATTTTGGAGAAAACTTACTAATTCCATACTCTTCGTCAATAAGTTTGTTCTTGGGTAGAGATGAGGCCTGAGAAAATGATCTTTCCCAGACAGCAGAATGAGGTCCCTATGGAAATTAGGTGTAAAGGGAGCTTTGGAGAGCACACATTTTCTAAATGATGTGCAAAAAGTTCCAAAGATATGTCCGTCTAGTTGGCAAGTAGGACTATAAAGGACTACAGATCTGTTTACAGTGAAACCTTTAATAGACTGGAATAGTTCATACCTGTGCCCTCAAACCTTACTGTAATATTTTTTATGTATGCCAAAGGGCAAAAGCTCCTTGGCATGCTTGTGAAGTCACCATACAAGTGAAAGACTGACATTCTTGAGAAAGGAGAATATACAAAACTCAGAAGAAAGCCTTTGAAAAGGAGATGAGGTTGAGACATTTCCTTCACCTGCAGTGGGTCTATTGCAATGTAGTCTTTCCACTCAATTTTGTAGCTACTTAGAAGTCCTAGAGTCATCTGCTGCTATAGTTTGGATCTTGAGTGTCTCCCATCAGCCCATGTGTTAAAGGCTTGATCTCCAGCTTATGGTAGGATTGAGAGGTGGTAGAAGGAAGTTGGGTTGTTCGGGATGTGCACTGGAAGGGGATATTGGTATCCTGGCGCCTTCTTGTCTCCTTAACTTCCTGGCTTCCAATAGGCGAGCAGCTTCCTCTGCCATGTGATCTTTACCACAATGTTCTTCCTTGCCACAGTTCTGAAGGCAGTGGGGCCAAGTGACCATGGACTGAAATCTCTAAAACCCAGCCAAAATAAACCTTTCCTCTTTAAAAGTTTCTTTATCTCAGATATTTTGTTGTAGTAATAGAAAGCTGACTTAACATTCCTGCCATCATCCTAGTTAGGATGACACAGTAATACTCTCTCCCTACTTATTGCAGTTCTCTGTTTGGTCAGGAATGGTTGCAAGTTAGTCATCACAGTAGCAGCTCCTGCCTGCTGCAAGATATTTATATACAGGAGTAGCCATGACAGAAGTGCTGGAAATGTGGTATCAGCTTACAGTTGCATCAGCCAAATAAGGACATTAATTTCAGTCTAACAAGAATCTCACCAATCACCAACTCAATTGGGGAGTGGTGTTTTGTTGTTGATTTAGAGCATAGTTTCAGTTATATATTAATTGAAAACCTTAGATATTATGGGGAAAGTTAGTATTTCGAATCTTACATTGCTTGGATAAATAAACACTAAACAGGTCACCAGTTTTGTGCTAGAGTTTATGGGCCTCACGGAAACAGTTGGGCTCCGCAGGAAGGCAAAGAAAGACCTACAGAATTTGTAAAACATTTTGTGTTGTAGTTGCTCCTGAGTAATTAGTTGTTTTTTCCTGGTAACCAAGCAAAGCTCAGATTTTTGTAAGTAATTTTGCATGCTATTACTCTGAGACTAAATTATGATTCTTGAGTTTGGGAAATTTTTGTTGCATGTGCCCTGTGCTTTTAACTTTCAATAGAAATGATTTAAACTGGATTTTAAAAATTACTTCCTGAATCTGAAGAGGCATTGACTGAAATGGAATTAAAGAACAAATTACCATGATTCAAAGCTGCTTATTAGCTTTGAATTAAGTCCTGTTGTAACAATTCTGATTTTCTGGCAAGCAATATCAGTGTGAGTTATTTTTGTGGTATGATACCAAGCACCTGCAGGGAAAAAATAAAGCACAAAGCAGTTTTTCATAGACAGCTATCTTTATTTGGAGGATATTTATTTGTAGGTAGTGAAAAAATTCTTACATTTCCCCAAACTCGGCTGTTAGCAATGATCTAAACTAGAAGAAACAAATTACTTACATGTTTCAGTCAAAGGTATCAGTGTTCTTTTAAAAGGATGCCACTTTGGTCAATCTTGGTGAATAAGCAAATTTGCACCCTGGAGTCCGGAAGGAGGATTGAGTTAGTATGATCAGAATTGCTGGCCACACTGGTTCTCCAGCGTTGGTTGTTCCCAGATGCCCTCATTTGGAGATGCCAAAGATAGAAACCACTGGGTGTCAAACAGCTGTGATTCCTGCTTTTCAAGCCATGTGATCTCATATCCATTTACTAACTGAATCATTTGCAAGCCATTTGCAGGCTCCTGGTGGCCACAGGCCACACCCAACTCGGGGTTCTCTGCCAGTTCTTTGTTTCTATTTGCATGTTGTTGTTTTTCATTAAAAAATATATTGAAATAGCATCTACTTGCATTGTGTCTTCACTCTGAAGAAATTTTCTTTCAGAGCACTACTTAGCATAGGCTGTTGTAGATGTTTTGGAATCACCTTCTAACTAGGTGGCAAGGTCAGTAATTTGGAGATTTCATTAGCTGGACCGTTCCTCATGAGTCAGTTTTTTAGCTCTGATTTCCTAACTAATCCTCTGCTTTGTGCAACAGGGATTATGCTTCTGTATTCGATTTAAGCAAGAGCAGTCACATTCCTGAAGGGAAAGCTAAGGCTCAAGGATATTAAGTCAGAGATCCAAAGAAGCATGCGTCAGTCACCAAGCCTAAAATAGAAGCTAGGTTTGTTTGGAGTGATGATCCTATGACATGACACAAACATTTTTCCTGGTCAAATATTAGTATTTAGGATAATAAATAATAGAGATGATAAGATATTAAACACGTTTAGGAGGGTTTAGAAAATCTGTGACCTTGCAGTTAATACTTTTGATCCTTGATTTTACTGCAAAGTTAAAATTTATCTCTAATGTCCTTTTACTCTATTTGCTGCTGCTGCTGCTGCTGTTGGGTTTTTTTTTTTTTCATTTGATTATTATGTCATGTCTTTCCCTTAGGAATGTTACAGAAATGTATTTGGAATTCGGTATCTAATGTGGTTCAGTAGCATTTTGTTTAAAATATTCAAGAAATTATGTGTTCTTTTAAAAATTTTTTTGGTTGTAGATGGCCACAATATGTTTATTTTTTATTTTTTATGTGGTGCTGAGGATAGAACCCAGTGTCTTACACGTTTGGGGCTGGCGCTCCACCATTGAGCTCCAGGCCAGCCCCAAGAAATTATGTGTTCTTGTTAATTAAATTTTCAGGAATGAAAACACTTTTTAGTTTTAACTCTGAAAAACCTTAAGGAAAAAATGTTAAAGATTAGTCCATGACTTTTTCAGCTTACTGGATTTCTTATCTAGGGTCCTGAGAGCGTATTTTCCACAAGTACAGATAGGTTGTAGGTATTACTGGGGAATGGCTGGGTTTTAATATTTTATAGTGTAATTTAAGGTGTTTAGTAAATGGCTGACAATTTTTTCCAGATATTCTAAAGATTTATACTGCCCCTCCCACTGGATTTGGTTTTCTCCTAACTCTAATTATAATTTTCATTCTGTAGCTGGGTAATAAAGGAAAAAAAATTAAATATTATCAGGAAGTAAACAGTGTGCTGCCACCTATAGGCAGCCACAATATTTATTGCACTGACCTTACTGGAGTCTAAATAGATATCACATGAGCATTTTTCCCTTAGCCTTAATTCTGTTAGTGTACTTACTTACTAACTGCCTCAAAAGTCTTTTCAGATAGGTTACACCCTAAATAAATATTTTAGGTGTTCCAGCTTAACTAACAGAAGTCAAGGGCTTATAAATGTGGCACTGAATAGGATTGTTCCCTACCCTAAGGAATTTTCAGTCTGTTGGGGAAATCAAAGATGTCAGCCAACAAATGCAATGAGGTGTTGTAGATGTTCTGATAGAATAAGAATGCTCAGCAGCCAGTCAGGGCACACAAAAAGTTCAGTTCTCTCATAGGAGATGGTTTGTGCTGAGTCTTTTGTTGTTGTTGTTTTTTAGAGTACTGGGGATTGAACCCAGTTGCTCTACCACTGAGCCACATCCCCAGCCCTTTTCATTTTTTATTTTGAGACAGGTTCTCATTGAGTTGCTGAGGCTGGCCTGAAACTTGCAATTCTCCTGCTTCTGCCTCCTGAGTCATTTGGATCATAGGCGTGTATGCATCACCAAAGGCAGCTTGAAAAAGGATTAGGGAGGGTGTTGAATGGAAAGTTAGCAGGAGGGAAGACCCAGTGATTTTGAACAGCAGTCTGATTCTAGTTCTGCTATTAGCTAAATACATGATTTGGGGCATTTACCTGGCTGAGCTCCAATGTCCTCATTTGTGGAAAGGATAAGGGCTGGACTTAAAGCAGGTCCAAAATCCTTCCCAGACCAAAAAACCTATATTACCATGAAAGAAGAGAAAGCTTTTCAAGTCATTGAACTAGAATCTAGCAGCGTTCTCTCTACATCATCTAAGTTTACTAAGATTGTGTCCTAGAAACCCACAGTCAGCTAGTGGCTAAAGGATAGATTTGAGGGTCAGGACTCATGCCATATTGAGGGAGAATATAAAGTAACAATGTTGTATTAAAGCCTCCTGCAACTAGAAAGGTCTCACAGTAATGTTTTCTTCTTTCAGAATGATTTTGGCCACAGCCATTCTTTATATTTATTAGCTAGTCTTCCTGCACAAAGGATTTAAGGCATCTCACTGGAGCATGAACAGTGTCATAAAAGAGGAAAAATTTTGAATTAATTACAAAATAAAAAAACAAGATCCAGGGGGAAATAGGTAGAACTGAGCAATCTAAGGAAGAGAAAAGAGTATAGGCAGATAAGCAGGGCATAAATAGTTGCATAATTTTAGAAACTGGTACATACATTTGACCATGAGCTTCCTGGCAAGAAAGCAAAAAGAATTAGAAAGTTGTCCATCAAAAGGGATATTTTCCTCTGGATAAGCAAAGCCAGACCCTTACTTGAAAACAGCATTTGTGGGTGGGTCTTTGCCTGTCTAGTTTCCTGATGCCTCTGGTTCTTGTGGAGTTCCACAGCCCAGCCCCTTGTTTTTAATGTCACGTTTTTTTTCCAGGGGCAATGAATCATTCTTTCCAGGACACTGGATCTCGTGACATTCACGAAGATGGAAAGCTTTATGTCGTGGATTCCATTAATGACTTAAACAAACTAAACCTCTATCCTGCTGGATCACAGCATCTGTTCCGTATGTGTGCCCCTGGTGGCTTGGTGGCCCTTCCTGGCATCCAGGCTGCCTAAAAATGGCAAAGGCAAAAGTGGACCTGTGGGTGTTGGGTAGGGGTTGGGGTGGTAGGTATAGCTTGGCATTGGAAATGCTATTTATCATTAGGCAGGTTTTGCTTTTGTTCTTTGAATACCCATGCCATTATGAGCTTTCTTGGCTCCTAAGGAAGATTTGAACTCTTTAAAAATCCTGGAAAAATCTTGTGGTGTTTCTGTCCCTGAGAAGGGTGAAGGCTGCTGAGCTGGACTCTCAAGGCTTGCTCATGCCTCTGTTATCTGTTGTAATGCTTCTTAGGGACCACAGCTAGATCCTCGATACTGCCCACCTTCCCCCAGGGGTTTTGTTTCATAGCGTATTGCTGAGAAAATGCTCAACACATTCACCAGTTATAAAAATATCATTAAAATTCTCTTGGGCAAAAGAATCAACTTCATTTTCTCCTTCTGAATTACAAATTGCCCAATTAAATAGTTAGAAAAATATGCGGGGTGGACAAAATCTGCTGAATACTAAATGTGTATGCTGCTCACTAAATATTATAAATGAGTTCTACCAGACCCTCTGAGCCCCTTCTTTTCTATCTTAAATGCTGATGTTTGAACCCTAATGTGAATTGCTCACTTGCCGTTTGTTTTTTGTGTACTCCCAACTTACTATCCCAGTTTTATATCTATCATTCCCCTTCTAAATCATTTCTCAGTTTTTGCTTTTCTCATCATTTTAATGGGTTCAGATCTTCATCATTTTTATTGCAGTCAGTCTCAATAAAAGCGGGTGTGTGTGTGTCAATAAGGGGGATGATATAGGATATACTTATAGGGCATGGGACTTAAGCCATCCATTTATCCACAATCCAGGACCACAATGTGTTGGACCAATTCAAAGTAGGAGAGCATACAAAAAAGTAATTCAATGATCTCCACTACCCCAGTTTTCATATTTCTTACTCAGTTTAATCTCAGAGCTATTAGGGACCTAGGCCTTAAAAAGGTTACTGGATGCAGACAATTCAAGGTTTGGGTGAATCAAGCTATTTTATGAGCAGGTTGGATTCTCAGTTCAACTCAAAATATTGGAAAGAACCCTGATTTCAGAGGATATCCATCTTAAAAACAGTTTTAAGAAACCAAAATATATCAGGACCACTTTTGTTTAAATGGGTGTAGGCATGCTTGATTATTCCTATAATAACAGGGATTTCCTGGGAGACAGCCCAGAGTATTCAATTTCCATCCAAGGCAGGTGGCCCACACCCAGCTCTGTTTTGCTCCTGGGTTACTGTGGGAGGACTATAGAGCCTCTGTCACTCTTAATCTTTCACTTCTTTATTCCCTCCCCCAGGAACAATCCATGTCCTGCTACGTCGGTACTAACACAGTCTTAAAAAAACTTTCCAAAGAGGCCTGACCATGTAGCTTACCCTTGCTCATTCTTTGAATACCAAAAGAGAGGAAGGTAAACAATTCCAAAAAGTGTACCCATCCAAAGACATTCCTAACACATAAATCACTTTCCAGGACTGTCAGAAGGAAAATGGGTGTATTCATTACTCATGTCTCTAACAATGAGCTGCTGTTCCTTTCTGCTGACAAGTTGTGTGCTGAGGAGTTTTTGTCTGCACTGTTTTTGTTTGTTTCCTATTAGCTCTTGAAGAGAAAATCCCAGACTTTGGCACACACTCAAGAAATGGGAGGCGGAGTCTGTTCTTTATGGGGCTGCTAATTGCACTGATCGTCAGCTTGGCACTGGTTTTCTTCGTGATATTTCTAATAAGTAAGTACCACCAGCAGGGTTTTCATTACTAAGTGCACATGATGCATAGCTGGTTTTCCTAGCCAGTTGTTCAACTTTGCCCTTGGGATGAGTCAGTGCTTTCTGGAAGTCAAAGTTTCCCCTGGAAAACACAAGGGGAATGAACACCTCGTGTGAATCCCTTTGCTCAGGGATACGGTCCCTGGGGCACAAGCCTACTGCACAAGGGCACAGTGCTTGAAGGTCACAGACATGTATGCTAAATATTAATATAACATTTAAGTTCCTCCCTTGGGAAACCTAGCTGCCAAATTGTAGGTGACTCCATCGGGCAGCAGGATCAGTTGGCTACCATTAAAATCAGATCTATAACATGTAGTCACACTCAGGGTTCAAACCCCATCTCAATTTCTCTCATTTGCATATCATCCAGAAATCAATGCTAGTTCCATGGGATAAGTGTTGCCTTTGGGAAAAAAAATAAAAGAGGGGGGTGTCTTCGTGGTCAAATGAGTTTGGGAACTGTTGGCTTAGGTAATGTTCAGGGTGTTTCTTTGCTTCCTGTGCATCTCCAAGGGGCAGGTGGGCATATATTTTTGCTCTGACTCTTTTATACATGGAACCCTTTCTCTTTTTATGGAATTTATTTCAGGACTGGTGCACTGTGGAACAGAGAGAGGTAGGACCATGTTTTATCCAATGTAATTTTTCAGACATGAGCAAGAAGTAATCACAGGGCAGCCAATTTGCCCCAAGGCTGGGAGGTGAACCTCTAACAGCTAGTTTACCTCCTCTGCTTAGTTTATCAGCCAAGCCCAGCAGCATGTTATCAACACTATTAGGTCCCAGAGATAGTTTTGAGGAAAAAAAAATGCCTGAAATGGAAATGTTAAGGAGTTCAAAGATAAAGCATTGATTCTGTGCAGCATTTCTTAGAAATATTAGCTCTAATTAACAGACCTCAAAGGTTTACATTCCCAGTTTACTATACTGCAGGGGTTCTGTTTATTTGGAAAATATTGTGCTCTATTCTCAGGAGTGATCTGAGGGGAATGATTAAACATTCATTATGAGTTGGTAATTTAGAATCAGCAGACATGTCAAAATAGGCTGGAACCCAGAGAATGTCATTTTCCAAATGATGAGCAAAAGCCCTTTCCTGAGAATGGGCCTGGAAATGCGACAATATAACAATCGCTTCTGGAGAAATAATCAGGCACATTGGCAGTTTAATTTGATTTCTCATAGACATATCTTTCTTAGCCAAAACCTGGGTGGAGCTGCCAGGGGTGGTCTAGATTGGCACTAAGAGGTTGTAAAAATAATTCATTTAACGTGCACCTTCACTTTTCTCCAGTTTCTCTCCTGGGTTTCTGGAATCCATGGATAATGGAACAGGGGGTTTACCAAGAGAGCCTCTCAGCACTCAGATGAGCTCTGGTGGAACATACTGGAAACCAGTATAACACAGTCTGTTTTCCATTTTTCAAGTTCAAACTGGAAACAAGATGGATGATGTGTCAAGAAGACTAACAGCTGATGGAAGGGACATAGATGACCTAAAGAAAATCAACAACATGATCATAAAGCGACTCGACCAACTGGACTTGGAGAAGAATTAGAGAAATGATTTTCCAAGGGCATCAGCTAACACGTGGAGCTCCTCACTTTCCTGGGGTGCACTGGGTCAAGGGCTGAGAAAGGGCAAAGGATTATCTGATCATTAAAACCAACCAGGGATATGAGCAACTCCTAGGCAAGCTTTAGGACAGCAGCTAGAAAGGGATGGTTAGGTCTCAGCCTTATTTTCTGGTAGGGTGCTCCAGCTTTAATGTGGTTAGGGTGGTTGGCTAGCATGCAGGAGAATCAACAGAAACCAGGAATTCGGCTTTGTATATACAACTTATCTTACTAGAGGAGTTTGGTGTAGAATAGGTTCACTGTTGATGAAAGTTTGACGCCACATGCCTGTGCAGATTCCTGTGAAAGCCTGAGAGATTCATTCAATTACCTGAGCAGAAGGGAACTAGGTGATGGCTTTCTTCAGCAAAAGACATTCTTCTGCTTAGGTCATCAGGCTTTGACTATTTCCCCAGGGTCAGTGATGGGCAGGCTTCAGAGCTGATTGCTGTCAGTGATTGCTAGTGGAAACATGGGTAGGAGTTATGTGTGTATGGTGGGGCCAGGAATCAACAGAGAAAGCCTGATTAATAACTGGTGTTTACTGAGTTCCTTCTATGTGTGAATCATGCTACTCTAGAGCCATTCTAGTCTCATGGGGACTAGGGAGATGTAGTTATATGGAATTAGGTAAGATACATTTACTTTGTTTCTCATGAAAAAAGAAGCCCTTCAGTACCCCTGCTCATTAATTTGGAGGAAATCTGATAAGTTTGTGGCCTTTGATAAACTACAGTAGGAAATTATAAACTTGGAATATTTGGAAACTGTCTTCTATAGCAAAATAAGGTACATGGTATCTGACATAAAAGAGGGTGTGAAATAAATGAATCTAAAAAGCATAGGTCTTTTTATTTAGTTTAGATACATGTACAAGTCAATTGAAAATTGTATTGCAACTCTGTCATTTTAAGTTGCTGAATTTGCTTACCCATTTTGCACTCAAAAACATTTGTACTGTATATTCTTTTTCTTAAAAAGAACAGGTACCATGCAGAACATGGTCAAACCTAAAATTTGTATTTGTGGAACAACTCTTATTGAGCTGTTGATAGGGTGTGGCAAAAGTCATTTGTTATCTGTTGTATAGCTGTTTCAGGAATCACTGGGGATCTAATACAATGACTCTTAAAAATATTCATTTCTTAGCCAGGCCCAGTGGCACATGCCTGCAATCCCAGCTGCTAAGGAGGCTGAAACAGAAGGATTGTGAGTTCAAAACTAGCCTCAGCAAAAAGCAAGACACTAAGCATCTCAGTGAGACCCTGTCTGTAAATAAAATACAAAAAGGGCTGGGGATGTGGCTCAGTGGTCGAGTGCCCTTGAGTTCAGTCCCTGTTACCCATCCCCCCAAAATGTTCATTTCTATCTGTTTGCTCTTATTATGCCCTTTTCCCTTTCTGCTTACCCAATGTACATATATTATGCTCAATTATAAATGATCATTTAAAAAATATTTTATGATATTAATGTAGCTCAGAAGTAGAGCTACATTCCCAGCCCTTTTTATTTTTTGAGACAGGGTCTCTGTAAATCACTATGGTTGGCTTCAAACTTTGATTCTTCTGCCTCAGCTCCCGAGTAGCTAGGATTATAGGCATGCACCACCATTCCCAAATATAAATGATATTCATTTAAAAAAAAATTATCATTTTAACAAAATGAAGAAGTGGATAAATCATTTTGTCCATCTTTTTGGATCTTCACTGTCCTGCCTGGATTGCATCATGACTCCTTTGACCCTTAGTCTTGGAAACTTTATCACAGCTCCTGGTATTTGAAATCACAAATTAACTCCCACTGAACATATTTAAAGTATTGGCTGGCTGGCTACATGTATTCTTTTTTTTTTTTTAAGACAATAGTTTTATTTTTCAAGTCTATGTGCTGTTATCAAATCATACATACCATTTTCAAATCACACAACCAATTTTACAAGTCACAAAAAATAATTTGGCTTGGCAAATGTACAGGCTCTCATTTTCTTACTGATCTAGAAATTTTCTATGAGTTCTTGCTATGGATGAAAATGTCAAGGGCTTTCTGAGATTTCCTGACAGTACTCTGATGAAATTTTATTCCATTTATTTTATCTTCTTAAGTTGCTGCCTCTTGCACTGCTATTGTTTTACACAGTGCCCCAAACTGGCTGAAATAGTTTTTCTTCCACTGAATTAGTTTTGTTAAGAAGTGATTTTTAGCAATTTTAGAAGCCACATGGACATAATCACATTATAGGTCAGTGTTAAAACATCCCAGGCATCCTAACAACTCTCATAACGGGAACAGCTATTGCTGGTACATTTCTGGTGGGTGTGATTAGAGGGGATGTGACCCCTCTGAGCATCCCTCCTACTACACTCTTCTTATCATAACTTTTTATGCAATATATTTCTAACTTCAAAAATCACTGGGGCAAAGAGTTTGTTCTTTGAACAGTTGTCTTAGGATATGTGAGGCTATTGACTATGGTAAAATGATAATAACACTAAGAATTCATAGGCTATAGTCTAGTCCTAACTTTGCATGATGGCTATAAAATTTGAGCAAATAAAAATTTCTTTGGGCCCTAGTTTGCCCACCTGAGAAATTAAAGGCTTGGGCCCTTTCATTTCTAATATCCCTTTCTGAATATTAGCTGTCTGTCTCCCAGCTGTCTTCCTTTTCTTTTGTCTCTTGTTATGTGGAAAGATATAAAGAGATGTTGGTGAGGCAACTGGACAATAGTGACCTCACAATTGACATTCTTCTCATAGCCTGGGCAACTTCTTGTAGTACAATGGAAGAAACAGCTACCCAGAAGGAAGAGTGGTTTGGGACTAATGACAAGGAAAATATCCCCAAACACCAAAGGAACACTCTCGTTCAACAAAACAGGAACAAGTGATAATGTATAGTTTAATAAGAAAACTTGGGTGGAAATGTGCTTATGCTTAAATGTTGGGCACTGAGGACATTGAACAAAAGGACAACGAAGGAATTGTCATGTTAGGTTTCTTAATAAGTTATACTGCAATGAACACAGAGGCAAACCCTAAATGCTCCTAAAAAAAAAAAATCACCTGAATGGGAATAGATACAAGCACATAGAGAAAACATAGGGAATGTGCCCTCAAGAATATCAAACTAGCTGCTTTGTGCAACATTGTCCTTTTTTTCTATTTCAAAGATAGAACCTTGAGAATGAGTTTGTTCTTATATCTCATCTTAAAAAAACTAATAATTTTTTCCCAAAAGATGGTATACACCAAGTTAAAGACAGGGTATTATAAATTTAGAATAATTGGTGAAACATTACAGAATATAGAACCTTTATGATTAGTTTATGGTAATGGCTTTGATGCCACCTTGGATCAATACTGAACACAGTTCCATCTGTAAAATATTTAAAGGTGATGGCTGCTTTATTAAAGGAAGCAATTTTGTCAGTTTTCATCAAACTAAAAATTGTTCATGATACATTGAATTAAATGAAGCTCTTTTTTGAAGGCATAAAAACTTTGAATTCTGTGTGTATGTATGTTGAAACTATAAAGCTTTTATGACTCAAATATTAATTTCTCTTAAATGAAATTAAAGGCAAAACAATATGGTTTAGCTTAAATGATCATTCCTTCCTGCAATGATTAATTGGATTGTTTTACCATATATTTTAAAAAGCTAAAGAGAAAATAGTGGAAAATGGAAATAATTTTGTAAGCTAAAAGACCTCGACTTAGATTTCTTTTGATAATACCAAATGAGGAATAAACCATGAAAATCAGAAGTTAGTACAGAAGTTGAAATAGTCAGAATAAACTCACCAGGTATCCTACAAACCTTCAAAATTGAAATAATTGATTTTCCTTGCAAGCCCATCTTGGAATGTCTACTGCCTTTTCAATGCTTCCAAGACAATTTCAACACTTATAAAGAAAATATTTATATTATTAACAGTAACTTTGCTACCAACCTTCAAAATAAAGAGTAATAATATGTCATTGAAATTTAAAAAAGGATATCATTTTCACATGTAGCTTTGGGTGTTCCCTAGTAAGATGACATCAGAGACACTGATCTTATGCTCCTTTTTGTTTTGTAAAGGAATCTACATGTAATGTGAGTCCACCTTTACAACATGGTTGTGTGAAATACTAGGCTTGTGAAAATTTTGTCAGAACCCTGGTGTTCAAAGAAATGGATCCAGATGTTATAAGAAAAATAACCCTGGGCTAATGTCATTTGGCCTTTTATTCATATTTGTTTGGTCTGTGTTCCTTGAGTGTATTTTTTTTTCCAGATTTTTAAACAAGTTGCCTCTATTCTTGAATCATGGGATTATAGAAATTGTTCTCAAGTCTTATCATCACTAAGTGATGCCGGATAAGTTGGTTTCTGTAAGCTCCTATGCATGATTCTTTGGTCTGTGTGATTTACATATTGAGATACACCCTGCTTTGTAAATAAAGTGAATTCCACATTCTTACTTGGTAACAATGAGAAATATTCCCGTGTTTCTGTTTGCAGTATAGAATACGATACATAATATCTCTGCAGTAAATGGTTCCTTTGAATGCATTCCTAGTAAAGCAGTGGATTCAGTGACTGGATATGTGGTATGGTTATTGGGGGATACTATTGTGAGCTTTTCTATCTATACTTCTCCATTGGCACAGAATGAAGCAAAGGTCTGAGCTATATTTTTATAATCATTTATGCCATGAATCCCATTGTTAGAAGTTAATGCTTTTGAATGGATTCCATTCATGCTTTCATGATGAATGGCATTAACTTCAATGATTATCACATGGGAAGCTGTTATCTGATTCCTTCTCTAGATCACTACCAGCCTATTGAGAGTTTCACTGAGATATGGTAGTCTCAGAATGACATCATGCAGTTGGGCACTTGTACTTCCTTCTTGAGGAGACTGCAGCATCATGGATCAAGAACTATGTCTCCA